GGGGGGGGGAAAGAACGTGCAGATCGGTCCTCGCAGAGGAGGGAGAGCTTGTACCTGAATAGAACTTGGTCTTAAAGGTGCCACTGGACTGTTTTGGACTGGGGGGGGTTCTGCAACTCACCTGCTTCGTGCTCTGACTGAGGGCTGCTGGGAGCAGGGGGTGGGGTTTGTTGCATGTGCCCGCCCCCTGGGCTCCTTACTGCCGGAGCTCCGCTGCTGTGCGCTCCTGCAGGAAATGACCCCTGACCTTATTGCCCGTAGCTTGTTATTTAGTTTTGTCTTGGCATATCTTAAATCATCTTCATCATGTTACACGTTCACTCGCAGTACAGCCTCTGTCTAGAAGTTTCCGCTTCCATTCCAATGTATTTGAAAAAGTGTGCATGCATGAAAGCTCACACCTGGAATAAAACTTCGCTGGTCTTAAAGGTGCCGCTAGACTCTCAATATTTCCTTCAAAACGCAGGGGTTGAAAGGGGATAAACTTGCACAGGATCATCTACAGGTAGGAGGGAAGGCTGAATCTCCCCCCCCGCCCAATGGCAAATGTCACTCTGGGACACTGGAACTGATTTTCCTATTATTTGTGAGGATTGCGGCACCGCTCATACGGGCCAGAGGGTGGCAGTAGCGGGTAACCGAGGATGCTGCAGAACTCCTTACCGGTCACTGCAGCCAAAACAGCGCTTTGCAGAATGCCCAGAGGGTCTGTGGCTTCACCATCTATCTCCAGGCAGGCCGGAGAGCCAGTCTGATGTAGTGGTGAAGAGCGGCGGGCTCTAAATCTGGAGAATCGGGTTTGGAGTTCCCCATTCCTCCACATGCAGCCAGCTGGGTGACCTTGGGTCCGTCACAGTTCTCTCAGCCCCACCTACCTCATAGAGTGGGGCTGAGAGAACTGTTGTGGGGAGAGGAAGGGAAGGAGATGGCAAGCCGCTCTGAGACTCTGAGTGAACCCAACTTTTCTTTCTTCTTCTTAATTAAAAAAAAGTTTTAAAAAACTTTTGGGAAAGGGAAATTTTTCATGATGGTAAGTCCTAGTCAACCCTGCATTAGGTGTTTGAGGGTAAGCTACTTCAAATGCTGCTGGTTTCATGTTATACCCATCTCTTTTTGACCAAGAGGTAACAGATAAATTAAACTCCATAGGCATAAATCTCCTAAATTTCTCTACACCAGCAAGACTCAAAATCCCTTCTCAGAAAAGAGCACAGAGATCACCACCACCTCGGCTGTCATTGCATTAACTCAGAAGATAAATTTAGGAAATTCCATGAAATACAGAGTCTACTGACAAGTGAAAGAACCAAGCTTATCCCTCGCCCAGCCCTCCAGGTCAGAGGTCCACCAGGAGAGTTCCTGGCAAGTTCAGTGGTCAATCGGAACCTGGTAGTTAAGACCTCAGGTAAAGACACCCCACTGTCATCATAACTTGGCTTCTTCCAGTCGATGGCTGAGTTCAGACTGGCAATTTGGCCCGATAACTTGGTCCGGGTCTTTTTGCCCCGCCTCCCTCACGCGTTATACTGCCAGTCTCTCCTCAGCCTTTGTCTCTGGTCTGGAAAGCACAACTGTGCATCTTGCTTGCCTGGGATCTCCTTCAGCAGTGACAGTTCATGGCTTCCCCTGTAACCTGATCTCTACATGCATCCAGTTTGGAAGATGAATTTATGTTTCCATGGGTGCCCAGACTTAGAAATAATACATCTCAATTATCCCATAACCGGAAAATGCAATGTTATATGTGACAAATAATGCTGAGGTTTCAGAATGTATTGTGGGTTCAGAAAGTGATTACCACCCACATGGAATGTGTTCGCAAGATACATTTTTTCATGTTATATCTGAATATTTGGGTTTTTTTTTAAAAAAAAAGTGAAACTGTTATTAAAGCTGTGTTACCACAAGTCATTCTCTTAACACATCAGCCGATACAATAATAGGAGCCAAGCTAAGGGGTGATAAGCATATTGTGTCTTTGCAACCATTTGCTATCATATACACCACTTTTACGGAGAGGATAGAGGGGAGGGGAGGGGAGGGTCAGTTTCTGTGAGCATAAAAAGAAGAGGGGAAAGTTTTGCAGATTTACTATTTATTTATATATTTAGCTATTTACATCTTGCTTTTGTCCTCAATGTGGACCATAAGAACATAAGAGACGCCAATGTTGGATCAGGCCAAAGGCTCATCCAGTCCAACACTCTGTGTCACACAGTGGCCAGAAATACCAGTGCCAACCTAGCAGTTCGAAAGCAAGAAATTGCAAGTAGATAAATAGGTACCACTTCAGTGGGAAGGTAACAGCTTTCCGTGCGCCTTGGTGTTTAGTCATGCCAGCCACATGACCACGGAAACGTCTTCGGACAGCGCTGGCTCTTCGGCTTTGAAACCGCAACCCTAGAGTCGGCTTCGACTGGCTTTCGAGCAAGGGAACCTTTTAGCACGCCATCTGACCGCACCCAATGGCAAACCAACTCCGAATGTCTCTTGCCGGCCCAAGGAGGCACACGTTTCGGTCAGCAAAACTATCTCTTGGCTTATAAGCCTCTTTTGAACAACAAGAGACTGGCCTAGAAATGGCCACGACGCGATCACCACCTCACAGTGGTTTGGGCAAAAGAGACCCTGGCTGACGTCTCTTTCTGAGGCAGCAAGAAATTCTCCCGGCCTGTCCCTAAGGAGTCGTGGTCTCTCTGTAATGACTGAGGGAAATTCGGGAAGAGGAATGAGGTAAAAACGGTGGGCTCAGCACCCGCCCCCAAGGCATGATCGTCAATATGAATTACGACGGGGTTTGTTTTCTGTTTGACAAAGGTGGCACACAAAACCCCCCTCTAAGAACAAGAACTAACCGGCACTCCTTCAGGATCTACTTACACACGGCACGGCCTGGCTGAGGGACAGAATGACGTTCTGGGCTGCTGAAGGCATCTCTTCCTCACACAGGAGCTGAAAAGGCAAAAGACGTTCGGAAAGCAGGTCGGATTGCCTGTTGGACCGCGAGACGCCACGCACAACCGAAAAGCACGTGGGTGTGGATCAATGTTCCCGCTAAGCTGTACAGTCTTGTGAGCAAAAATTCTACTTTGTGAGCCACTGGCATTAAAGCTGTGAGCGAGCAATTTGGCTACTGCATAAATTAGTTCGCTCTGGAGCCCTCCTTCCTGAGCTAAGACAAAAAGGTGTGAGCTGGAGGCTAAAAAACTGTGAGCTAGCTCACACTGACTCATCTTAGAGGGAACACTGGTGTGGGTTCATCCTGACCTCTCCCTGTTTTCTAGCGTCTCACGCCCTAGTGCTTCCAACTTGGAGATCGCCCCTTTCCCTTTTCGTTCGTCCTCATGGAAAGGGAACGCTCAGTGAACTTTGACTCATGGAAGGTTATACCCTGAAAATCTTAGAATCGTAGAGTTGGAAGCAATGTTCCCTCTAAGCTGTGGAGTCTTGTGAGCAAAAATTCTACTTTATGAGCTACTGGCACTAAAGTTGTGAGCAAGTGATTTGGCGACTGCATAAATTAGTTTGCTCTGGAGTCCTCCTTCCTGAGCGAAGACAAAAATGTGTGAGACGGAGGCTAAAAAACTGTGAGCTAGCTCACACTGACTCAGCTTAGAGGGAACACTGGTTGGAAGGGACCTCCAGGGTCATCTAGTCCAACCCCCTGCACAAGGCGGGAAATCCACAAATACCTCCCCCTCCCCACACCCCCGGTGACCCCTGTTCCATGCCCAGAAGATGACAAAAAACCTCCAGGATCTCCATCCAAACTGGCCTGGAGATAAATGGCTTCCTGACCACAAAGTGGCGACTGGCATTTCCCTGGGCGCGTAAGAAAGGGCCACGAGATCTAAGCACTGAGGCGACCCTTCCTGCCCCTCCCTCTCACGATCTGCCTAAGTTCACGGAACCAGCATTGCCGTCAGATGGCCGTCTAGCCTCTGTTTAAAAACCTCCCAAGAAGGAGAGCCCACCACCTCCCGAGGAAGCCTGTTCCAC